AGCCGTAGAGAGAGTTCAGCAAGTGACCTCGCTGCTATCCAAGGAACTCTGTGGCGGCGATTGCGGAGAGATGCGATCCGAAAGGAGATCTGATGGATAGTGAGACTTTTGAGATGCTTGGCAGCAAGTTGATCAGTCTGCACTGCAGCTTTCGGAGACAGCAGCGGGAGCGTTGCGAGACTTGGTCACTCCCGGGGAGCGTTTGCTCGAGCACGGATGCCCCACAGCCTCGTCCATGGACCCTTGTTAAACGGCCGGAACCTTCCAGTTGGCTGATCCCTCAAGGCGAGCCGCGATCATTGAGACTTGCAAGAATAGAAGAGGAAAGCGCTAGGAGGATGAGTGCAGCCAAAAGCAATCGAAGTCCACATACAGCATGCATCGGAAATCATCGGAAACTTGCACTCCAGTGGTCCGCGCTGCCTCTGCACTCCTTCTCGAGACGTAGAGCTGTTGCGGATACTTGCCACTACACTTCGTGGGCTGTGTTCTGTGTGGTGGTCTGCATTCTTAAGGCCGAAGCCAGAGTTTGAAGCAGAGTGCGGCAGCGGCCTCTGGGGAAAGGTCGGCATGACCAGGCTCACAAGAGTCGAGCGACAGAGCGCCTGCTTCTGCTTGGATTTATAAACTAGGGCACTACGTCGCTACTTACGGCTTTTCGAGTTCCAAAGTGTTCTGAAACTGAGTGAACGCTGCCTATAATAGATATAATATTATATAGCCGTGCCGGGACGAGTCTAGCGAAGCGATTCGACAGATTCGCAACTGTCCGTGCGGTTGTTGCCTTTCCGCAGGCTCGAGATTCCGGTGTAAGGCCCGCTGGCGCAGCTTTGGCTGGCGGCGCTTCGGCTGCCGGCCCGACTTGTTTGCGCCGGTCACGATTGCATGTTTACAGCACACAGTGGTCGCAGAAGGCAAAGGGCTGATGATCATTGTGATCATCATCATCTTGACGATCTCTGTCGCGGCCTTCTCCCCGAAAGCTTTTCGCCCCACACGGCGCCTCAGCGCCTGACGCCCACAATGTGGACCATCCTCTCCAAAACGTCCTTTGCATTCCTTTGCAAAACCATGAGAGTAGAGCCCTCGAACCGCCTCCATCGCCTAAGCCGTTTCAGTAACATGCTACTGGCGAAGGGAAGCAGTCTCGTCCCAGTGTTTTCGCCAAGGAGCACGCTTGCGTGTGATGGCACCCACTCACTGTTGGTGTCGGCTGTCATCAGCCCAGAAACAAGATCCATGCAAGCCCCGCTGAAATAACCACAATCTTGTCATCGCACAACGACCGACGTGACTGCACCCTAGCGGCCCTAGCAGATTAGGTAAATTTATGCAGGTTTGTCGGGCTGCTAGTTGAGTTTTGTGTGCGGAGCATGCAGCATTCCTCATGTTACTTGCAGCTCTTACTAATAAAACAACATGCATAGCCGCATCCAGCAGCCGCGTGCGCAAGGCAAGTCATCATCTGACCGCAGCGGCAACCTGTACGCTAGCCGCGGAGAAAAATGTGTAGTACTCGCCCTTCATTGTTTGTCAGCTGCACCTGACTTCGATCTTCCCTTTGATTCCGTTGGTGTTTCTGATCTTATCATCCGTTCGGCTACATCTGTACAGCTAAACTATCAAGCACACGGCCGATGTCGTCATGTAATGGCGGTGCGGGTTACTTTCGCTAGCGGCATGAGAAAAGTTGGTCCATGCCCGTGCACCCTACCCAGCTCTAGGTATCTGACAGGTACAGTACCCTACCAACATCTTTGCAAGAGCACTATCATACTTGGAAGGTCAATGCATGTATGACATGCTATGATAGCTTTGCTGACGGAACGTGTGACCTTCCTGTGAAGTAAAGGCACTTGGTAGTGTTGCCTAGGTTGCAGTTGCTGTATATGTCTAGCTACATTTGGGCTAGTACTGTCCTGCATCTACTTCAGTACCGGCACGAGGCTGAACGAGATGCAGCGAAATTAGCAATCATATAAAGCATGTCAATGTATGGCATCGTGTTGTGTCCAACTGTCACCTTCAGAATCTGTCTGGCAATTCAAGCGAATGTCGCTCTGCTTCGTTGTGTGTAGTGCCCGTCGGGCATCGGGGAAGCATTTACTTGTCATGCATCTCGGAGATGCTTGCAGCCTTGGGCGAGTGGCGAGGGTGCTCGGAAGATTGTGGTCTCCCACCAATGCAAATGTTTTTTACCTGCGGGACTCCCCGAAGACTGCTGCAGGTCTCTGCGGTGTACACTGGAAGCAGTGAGAGAGCCAAAGAGCTCGCAACGACTATGCCAGGCGCCAGTCTCCACATGTTTGCTACAAGATATCCCCAGTTGCAATGATGGCAACTACTGGAGGGCATCTGTAACATGCTTACGCTGCTTGCAGGATTAGATGCCTCGTGTGCTGTTGTCGATCTCGCAGACGGCAGGCCCGGTGGGGGATAGATATTTCGAGGCCAAGCGTTCCATCAATCTCCGGCGGCAGATGTAGCACATCTGGGAAGTCTTGGGTCATGATAAGGATCACTGTGTGGCTTGGCACGTGTGCTGGCAACAAGCGGAACAGAGAGCTAGACCGATAAAATCTACTGCAACATGTGGTTGACTAGGGTGTCGCAGGGGGAAGGCTGAAGTTCACGAACATCACAGATTCCCTGTTAGTGCGGGGTCGTTGCCTGTGCGAGCAGCACGACCAGCGGAGATCCGCAGGTAAGCGAGGTCTTGGCATGGAACCTGACATTTGCTAACGACCCATCAAACGACCTGGAGCGGCAACCAACGCATGGTTTCGGCAGGCCCCTGAAGGGGCTTAATATGCTGAGGTGCCTCTCACTTCGTTTTCCTGTCGATCGGGGCGGTTCTGAGGCACAAGTTGCTGAGGCCGTGGGCATGCCTGGGTAGAGGCTGCATTCAAGTCGAAAGCGGGCTACGTGTCAATGGTAGAAGATGACAGGCAGGAAGCTGCGGCAGACACACTTGAGGAGATTGATATCAGAAGCTGGGGTGAATAATTTGCTGCACTTCGCAACGATCCGCAGGAGACCGGGTTTTCCAATCCATCCCAACAAGCATGCATGCCCGCTCATGCGTGCAGGCTCAAGTGTTTGCACACTGTATGCAGATCTTTGTCAACGAGGCTTGGGGGATCGCGACCTGTGGCGGGAGCATGAGTCTAGCCGAGTCTAGCCAAGCTGTAGGTTCGGCGAGAGTCACAGATCGAGGGCAAAGGGGTCTCCTGAACGCCTTTGCTGATGTGAGTGGGGCAGCGACCTGCTCGTGGGATGATCTACTTTCGTGCTAAAGCACCAAACACCAACCTTTAGGATCAGCCTCTACTTCGAGGACTCGAAGTAGAGGACAAAGATGGGCCATAGTCTGCATGCTGTGCCAAATATTGGCAGCTGCTCAAATTTTAAAGCCATCTCATCGCACAGCAGAAAAAAGCACTGGTCCTGCCCGCCTTTGTAGGTCCACGCATGAAACCAGGCCGTCTGCAGTTGAGCTGTCCGGCGGAAGGAAAGATACACCAGCACATTCCTGCAAAAAGCGTGTCGAACTGCAATTGCTCAATACAAAAACCCCAGTTCCTTGCCAGAGGGCTTCCACGCCTGGCACAATCGCTCGGAGCCTTCTGTAGCGAAACTTCTGCCGAAGACGGCCTTGTTCCCTCCTTGACGCAAAATCTTGTAGGAAGGAATTCGTCACGGAGTGCTCGTGCAAAGCCAAGCGCGTGGCGTAACGCATGTGTGAGTGTGTTGGAAAAGCTGTGCCTGACGAAGTGATGGTCAAGTTTTGTGTGGCAGCGAAAATTGAAAGAATTGCCAAGATGAGATTATTCTCAGGGGGACTGGCTATCAATGCAAGTGCCAGTCCAACGAAGAAGCTTGCATTGGATACTGCTATGCGGTCTGACGAACCTGATGTACAACGAAGTTTCACTGCCCGTAGTGAAAGTAGGATGAGTATCATGAGTCCCTCAACTTTAGTTGGTTTTTGTGTAGTGCAACTACATCCATCGGCTTTGTTTCGATACGGTTCTGGGACGCTGGAACCACGTGCTTGTGGAGTTTCACCATTCGTTACAAGAAGATAGTCAGCCTTGAGTCTCAACAAGTAAGTCAAGACCTGAGAAGTTGTATCGAATTTACATGTTTTTGGCACAGTGCAACTCGGTAGCAAAGGTTTTATACAGGCCCAATATTCAACAGTTTTATCAGTAACACCACGGCGACGACAGACGCCATCAACAGAGAAGAAGACAATCAACAAAGAAGCTGACAGCCGGCTCAGACCGGCAAGCCGCACGTGTGTGTGAGTGTTGGCTGGAGTACCGTTTCTTTCATGCAGTTTGGGCGCGGTCGTGGCTCAAAGGCACGAATAGTCACGATGCATCTCGCAGACTTTGTGTCAAGCATGCTTTGCAAGTTGTTGCCAGTTTTGTGCCATTTTCAATTTCCGACGTTGCAATGGAAGCATCATCATCCGTCAGCATCGTGGAGACACTTGTGCATCTTGTATTGGAAAATTGATGTCTCCTGTTCCGATTGTGAACATGGTCGTATATGGTGGTTCTCGTGACGGCGACAGCGGTCTGGTTTGTAAGTTACAGTCATTCAGAAAGCCAGTAGCTCGGTAGTTGCATTGGCACAAGTCGCCGGGCTCTTGAACCTCAACAACACCTCTTCACAAATGAATCGCCGCGGCCCTGGGCCCTGGATCAGAACACGCAGCTTCAATTGACCCACCTGCAACCAGCAATGAACTTGACAGCAAGTGCCGGAGGTTCTGCTTTTCCAGCACCAGACGGACTGCCCATCCCGCCCTTGACGTCCAGCACACGACTTAGCAATCGGTAGCCAGGCCATGCAATCCTGTCTTAGAACAGAAAGAGGCTCTTCCACGCAGCCCCAAGTCATTGTACTGTAGAATACTAAACAGGTCTACCGAGGCCTAGAAAAACGTGCGACATCCAGGTCGATTCTACAGCCCCGACGGATCATATTTGATGACGGTGCCAGCTGCCCAGCACGTTGCTTCTGCATCGTTCTGCATCTGCATGCCAGAAGCTTCCGACGTTCAGTGGGCCAGGCTTCGCCTCGGTCATTCCGTCGGCCCAAAGGCGCGCAGGGAACAGACCATGAAAGCTTAGTGACTAGTGAACGCATGGCAAGGATCCTTTCATCTTCGCTCATGCGTATGTGGGTTGAGTGGAGAGGGAGATGTAGCGCCGGATGGCATCTCCACGTTTGGTCAGAATTCTGCCACGATGTATTAGGAGGTATCTGCTCTTCGAGAACTGGGCTCAGTTCTGGTTGTAAGGATGTAGAAGCAAAAGGCACGACAAGACTGCAGTCAGAAGGTACTGGTCCGGACAGACTTTTGGCTGCTCCTGGCCTTGCACCTTCTGGTCGTGGACTCAGCTTCTTGTGTGCTGACTTCAATGCTGTTTGGGACGATGTGAATCGGCACGATCACGGTACGTAGGGGGCGTCTCTGCGTAACGAAGGCATTCGCAGCTTACAACAGCGGCTTCATGGGGGAGAAGGGCGGTGGGTGGAGGCCGTGGCAAGCTATGCTGAACCTATCGGCGAAGCTCTCTTGACAAGTATCTTCAGAGGAGAGAATCTTCAGTTGCCTGTGATTTTTCTGCATGCTATTGGCCGCAGGGCCTGCCTCAGCAGAGACCATTGCTGCGAGCATGCGTTGCAGCAAGTTCGTTCCACGCGTTTCTGTGCGTCTCTACGTTCTGTGGCCAGGCTAGGCCTGCAGGAGCTCGAGTGGTCTGACGTGGAGCTAATGTTCGTTCTCATGTTTCTTGGTGTGAAAAGATAGCCAGGGAAGGCTCATCTTTGCGAGCCCGCAGTCCTGCAGTGTGTTGGAGCCGTCCAAAGGTCCTGCGCTCTGTGCTTCGCAGTGAACCAGCGCTCTCCTCAAATGGCTTATGTGTACGGTTGTGCACGGAATGCCACTTCTGTTGTCCCCCGACCAGGGCATATTTCAGATATTTGCAGTTGGGCCAGTTGGTCAGGCCGGCTTCGAGAGTGAGCCAGAGAACAAATTTGGTGACACATTTCGGAATTGTGGGACGCTACCAACTTAGCTTCGTTGCTTGTGGCGTGCGTTGTCGACTGTGAACTCCCCGAGCAGGAAGACAATGGACAGCGTATATGACTTCGCCTTCGAGGCTCAGCACGGGCTGCGTACAAAGGCCCAAGGATTTTCTGTTGAGATCAGCTTCTGTCCTTGGCCCTTGCTTGGCTCCGGCAACACGGGACAGAGAGTGAACGAGTGCAATGATGGATGGGGTAGCGCAGCCTGCGCCGGTCGGCGGGACTGCCCTCGACCTATGCCCCGAGCAATTCAAATTCAATTGCCTGGCGAGAGGCCAAACCGCGCCAGCATGTTCGCATCAATGCGGAGCACATGCAGATTTCCCTCTTGCAAATGGCACTGCTCTTCCATCTGGGGAGGACAAAGCCAAGCCAAAGTAGAGCAAGCACGCATTGCATCAGCAAGCAATGCCTGAAATTACTCACTGTTGCCAATTTGAGGAGGCTTGCCTTCCCCTTCCCGCCCCCTGTACCGCCCTGTACGACTGTAGAATTTGAGTTGTCGAGCACCTAAGCACAGCTTGCAGGATTTGCAGCTTGGAGTCGCCGGAGCATCTAGAAGATTCCAGTGTGCAAACCTTCCCAGGCTGCGCAAACCTTCCCAGGCCCTAAGGAGATCTAAGGAGGTCCTAGAGTCCTAGAGTATTGCGATCGCTATGCTTTCCTGATGGCTCCGTTTCGAGAGGCTCGGCTGTTCTTGCGCTTAGAGAACGAACCGAGCTTCAGCTGCATCTAGTTAGACTCTCACACCGACAGACTCTGCGGCCGCAGGCAGCAGTCTTGTCCTAGCATTCTGCTTGGATTGCTTGGGTGGTCTTGATGAAGTGTTGGACCTGCTTGGTGGACATTCTGCAACAAGCTGGGCAATAGTCGGACAGAGCTATCCAGAGTTGAAAGGGGGTGGGGAGTTGGAGTGTAATGTGCATGATTGACTCAGGTACGACCGGCTTGGCTGTCGATGGGCTGTGGTGCCTTGCTTGCAGTTTGAAGGAACTACGTGCGGGCATTTAGTCAACCAAGGATTTTGAGAATACCCAATTCGAGCTCTGTCCTAGTGCTGTGGGGCCTGCGACCCTACTAGTGGATCGTGACTTGCCTTGATCCAAGGGCTCTTTGATCCTGGTCCTATGCGAGATCAGGAGCGTCGTTTCTCAGAGCCATCAGCGATGGAGAGCAGATTTCGAGTTTGCAGTGTAGCCCCATGGCCTTCTGATGGCCATGAGGCCACTCCACCCTTAGCTACGCTTAAGGCCCCTGCTACTGCAGGAGGAGTTACACAGACAGCACCATTCAGCAGAATGATCTTCTGTGAAGCCGTCCTGTTTCCGCTGTGGGTGGCTTGGACATGTTTAGATTACCAGCAAATTCGAGTGAATTTGCTGGGGTCTCCTCCGATGGCTTGTCGTGTGCTGGCCAGGTGTTGCAGCATCTGTAATGCTTGCAATGGAGATTTTGTCCAGATACCGGTAGTTAGCTTGTAAGGCATCCAGAGCTCACCTGAAGCGTCAGGCATGCTGGCACGATGAAAAGTACGAAGGATTGATTTCGCTCGCTGCCAGCCCCTATCGATCATTCTCTACGAGTGTCACTGTCCAAGCCGCCCTCGGCATGACTGTGATTCTGTCTGCCAGGAAGTTGGTGGATCTGGAGTTTATCAGGACACAGTTGGAAGAGATGGGAAGAGCCTGCAGACGCCGTATTACCGTTTCAGGACATGTTTGTTTTCGAAACGACTGTTCTCAGCGCGTCGCGACCTGCAATCCTGGAAGCTCCCAAACTTAGATCGCTTGAATTGTAAGGAAAGTTCCCGGTAGCACGTAGTGCAGATTCCAGCAGCAAAGTGTGGAACAGCACATTATGGAGCCACCTAACATGCGAGCACCGAAAACGACAACTGGACAATCTTGAATCTTGAGGCCGCAAGCGACTACACCGCGACCCAATTCCTCCAAAGCCATAGAGGATGAGGGTGCACATTATGATTACAAACATATATACATATATACATGTACAGATATATGTATATCATATATACATGTGCATATATATATATATAAACTTATGTATATACACATGTATACCTATCTATCCATCTATCTATCCATTTGTCTATCCACCTGTCTATCTGTCTATCTATCTGCCTAACCATCTATCCATCTGTCTATCTATATATCTGTCTATCTATCTGTCTGTCTATCTATCTTGTATCTATCTAATCTATCTATCTATCTATCTATCTATCTATCTATACGTGCATATGAATAAGCATACACATACACATACACTAGACGTACATACATACAGACAGGCAGGCAGGCAGGCATGCATATATACTTTATAAACATATATGCATACATACAACTCATATTCATATGTACATCTTATACATATACATGTACATTGTACATGTATCCGTGGTTACGAGTCCTTGTCCCACGCGGTCCCAAAAAAACTATAAAAGACGTGCTTGCCTAGTCGAAAAGCACCGGTGAGTATTCCGACGCGCCCTCTACATGCACATTTCCCCGCTCGTGTCGAGTTGCGACCGTGTATGCTCGCCAAAAGATCCTGGCCTGAAACATCGAAGCTGCTTCGCTGGGTAAATATGACAGGTGTTGTACTGAACTGTCTGAGCTATCACACAAAGGTCTTTGGAATGACGAGGCCTTGTGTTTGCTGCAAATTTGCGAAGTGGGCCTGCGTCCCCCCNNCCCCCCCCCCCCCCCGCCGAAAAAACACAACCAAAAAGAAGGAGCAACCAAAAAAAGGGAACGAAGCAAAGACTCCGCCCTTATCTATCTCCATCATCGACCATCTGCTCCAGTTGCCTCTGTCTCTGTATCTCGATCGATTTATCTATCCATAAACCTATCTATGAATGCTTGTGTTCGTTTTTATCCGACACTTGAAAAGACGGCAAGATAGGAGAGGCTTCTGTGTGGGGGCATTAGACCCTGGCTGGCCTAGTGTTGGTTTTTTCAGTTCGTGTGGTAAGCAATGGGCGAACAGTAGCTAAGAGCGCAGGCCTGGTGAAGCGGACTTCCTGGATCCGCACAGTCTTTCAGCAAGGCAGAGGCACGTGAGTTGCAAAGCATGTAGCACGGCAGAACCTGGCAGCCCCCGGTCCCAGTCCATAAATGGCAACATTGGCAACTACAGCCGTTCAATCACCTGGGCATCAGACCTTTCTTCAAGGGTTGCTAACCCAAGACACGTGTCAGACCAGTGAGAGGCTGTCAGGTTGATACCATACAACTCAGACCCGTATATAGTTCGTCTATGCCCTGAGGACCCTCGTCATGATGCACACAGCCTGTGACTGTGCACTGCACGGCTTGGGGAAAGCTGAAGTTGCCGCTTAGCTGTGATGGGACGTAATGAGAGCTTCCGAAATTTCTTAGGCACCGCGGTGCTCTCGACAGGCACCAGCAACACAACGCGATTTGCTGCAGCGCCTTGTCGACTGCAAGTCCTACCAGCTCCAGGCCCGTGGCAGTACATGCCGCGCCTCCAGATTGTGCAGAAGATCCTGTTTGCACTAACCATTGAGACTTCCTCGGCGATTCCTCGGCAGTTGCTGGATGCCGCGAATGCGATGCTTCCCTTCGAATACTTCCACTTGCTCAGCTAAAGCCTGAGGCTGGAGGGCCGGTCCTCCCTAAAAGCAGCCAAAGCTGAAGAACTGGAATTGCTGATGTCTTTCGCGGCCATGCACACTCAGGTACTCTGGTCATCCTGACCACGGCCTACCTAGGGCTGTGCGTAGGTCTATGCGATTCATGGATCGCGCCTGCCTCAATAGTCAACAAGTCAACAACCAACTCTTCGGAAGTCTGAATATGATTTCGCCGAGCATGTGCAGCATGCCCCTGGTGTGCTTACGACATGATCGTGTTTGTACATGCTGACCGCGGCCGCTCTACAGGTGCCACCTGCTTATGCAACCTCTTTGCTGCACCTTGGCGGTTCTGAAAGCCTGAGAAGAGACTGGAATGCTTGCACTCTCAAGCACAATCGCTCTTAGGATCATCCTGGGCCTTTTTGAGCTCCTGAGCAGTTTGAACTATCCCTTCGACGGCCTGCACGAGGCAGTCTCAATTTCTTTAGCTGCACCGTCACGATTAGTCCGTGGCCTTCGCAAAGCTTCAGCTCGCAGATCGAGTATCGTGTGACTCGCAAGACTTAATGTAGACTCGACAGCCAGGACGATTTTTCTGTGAGCGTGCTGACTCGACTGACGAGCTTACTGGTGCCAGTGGTTCTGCGTTTTGTTCACCAGTGGCAACCAATAGTTTTTGTGGAGAAGCAGAATCATATCTCGTTTCATGTGTGACCATGTTTACGAAACCATACTAGAGCTATGCACATGTATATGACTATATGATTGTTTTCCTCCCTCGGTTTTGCCATCTCACTGCAACTGCAATGCCAAACTACTACTGCTGCTCCTCTCCTGCTAGTCTGTTCGCTGTTGCTGCTGCCTTATGCTGCCCTAGTAGTTGTCGTTGTAGAGCTGGTGCTGGTGCTGGTGGTGCTGGTGGTGGTGGTGGTAGTGGTGGTGGTAGTAGTAGTAGCAGTAGTATTTTTACTATTATTATTACTATTATTAGTATTATTAGTAGTAGTAGTAGTAGTAGTAGCAGCAGAGTAGGGTAGTTTAAATCGTAGTAGTCGTAGTAGTAGCCGCTGTCGTAGTAGTAGTAGTAGTCGTCGCCAGCGTCGTAGTAGTAGTAGTGGTGGTGGTAGTAGTAGTAGTAGTGGTAGTAGTAGTAGTGGTAGTAGTAGTAGTAGTAGTAGCAGTAGTAGTAGTAGTAGTAGTAGTAGTAGTAGTACTAACGACAATGACGATGATT